TGCATCTTAGAAATTGTTTTAGTATAGTTTAAACACCAAATTCATGTGATAAAATATGGTACTTGATTAGAATATGGTGTTTTGATGAATGTAACCATTGAAAGTGATAAATACGAAACAACTTTTGCACCCTCTAAATTAAAGTAGATTACTGACATTTTTATCACATTTTAATGACATTGTGGATTAACTTATTGAATTCTGTTGTAGAAAATGTGGAAGTTGTGTTTATAAACATTACATTTTACATGAATTTTAAAGCATTTATTCATATTGCAGATGTCCATGTTTGATACTTTAGCAAAATTACTACAGTATAATTTTAACATAATCAAACTACCAATTTTCAGCAGTGTTGTAGAAATGTTTTGTGTTCACTGGGTAACCTCAAAGTCAAAGGCACTAAAAATAAGTTATGTTCTTAGAAGCATTTTATATATATATATCTATATATATAGACAGATGCTTATATTTTGATGAGAATAGCTTGAAATCTATCAGTGGGTTTTAGACTGAAAGACTTAGTATGGAATTATTTTGATACAATGTGGTATATATACATGTAATTGCTATTTAAGGTATATTTTAGAGACATGCTGTTATATCTATAACAGGGAGAGGTGAGAATGAATGGCTTGGTCCTGAAGGATGTGCAATGTTTACTTTACATGTCAGCTTCCCTCTAAAGTCACAGCTGGGTCAGAATATGTCTTTTATTCAACACCTTGCCACCCTTGCTATAGTGCAGGCAGTGTGCGATTGTCCTGGATATGAGGTGTGTTAATCTAAATGTCGATAATCTTATGGATGGTAAGCATTAATTTAAATACATTTACTTACATCAAACATAATTTACTGTAAAAATATGCTGTTCTTAAAACCAGGATGTAAAAGTCTTTAAAAACAAGTTTACTCAACATATATTGAATTTCATCTTACTTCACAACAATATGGATGATATTATTTTGGAAATAAGTTAGTTGAAGGTGTTGTTTGTCTTTAATCTGATATAACTTTGAAAAGGTGATAACTATTTTAACAATTACAGGGCATGAAATTAAAGTGTTCCCAATGTCAAGTGCTTCTAAAAATGGTGTTACGCATGTCATATTTAAAAGAATGTGCTTGATTAGCATGAAAAATATCATGGTAATCATGTCAGACAAATTAGATAAAACAAAATTATTGTTTATAGCCATTATAAAAGGAGATGTACCCTGAACATAAATCAAGATTTCATATTTTTGTATCATTAACTTATGATTTTGTGGCTGAAAATCATTACAAGTGTAGGATTTGTTTTGCTTGTATCGTCTATTAACATGTAGATCATTTGGCTGATTTATACTAAGCTGCTAACAAACTGTTGTCTAACAAGTATTTGAAATCCACACTGGGTATGTACAGTAAGGTAATGCAGCTTAAAAGCAAGTACTGTGTTAATAGCTTACCTTGGCCAATGCTAGTTTAAAGTTATGTGCATGGGGACTTATATAGGTTGGAAGGGCATTTATGCCTTGTCTACTAGTATAAATAATTAACAGTTTATACATATCAATTTCCATCCTTGATAAATCTCTACACGCATATATATATATATATATTTATTATTACTTGATTTATACTATGTCTAGGCCTAAAACCTACACTAATGTTAATAGCAATAAAACAATGCAGGTGTCCTAATGCCACTCAGAAGGTCTAGATATAGATCTTAGCATAATTGATTAAGATTTGGAAATTGGAAATCAAAACTGTATTACACTTTTATGTTTTGTATCATTGCTACAGCAGAAATATGTTTTTCTATTAGCTTGTAGTTCTAGGGATTACACAATCCAAGCACTAGATTTAGGCCTAGATCTAAAATAAGTCATAATGTATTTACTTTGATATTGACAATCATGACTACTTGTATCTAAATCTGAGTCTGTCTACATCTAGGCTAGCCTATTAACTTCTAGGTGTTAGCCATGTGGCAGTATTTACTTGATGTAAAAAAAAACTCAGAGAAAGAAAGAAAAGAGACAGTGAATATGGTAACAGCATGCTGATAAAAATGGTGATGGTGGTAGTCAATATGAAGTTGGCATTTGCTGTAGGTACATATATATATTTAGGGAGTAAAAGAACAGCACTTTACAGTAAAAGGATCCTTACAATCTTTTTTTCAGGAGGTGGATAAATGAATAAATTCTTTGGTACTCAGAAATCTCTTGTGGTACCAAAAATTTTTGATGATTGTGCTTAGCTGACATTTTAGAAAAAAAAAATTCATTTCATGCCCTGCAAGTACTGACTTACTAAGGGTTAGATTAATTTTTCAATATCATTAGTGGTATTTTCTGTTAGTTGTGTTCTGAATGCAACTTATTAAAATAATGTGTTAATTTTCTTATTTTTAATCATGATGTACATGTTATTAAACATTTGTATTTAAGTTTTAGTTAATGTACATCTCATTATTTGCACTTAAAAACCTGTTTGTTTATCTTTCAAAATAAAAACAAAAATGTTTCTGGAATTCCAGAACGTTCAAAAACAACACTCAAGTTTTATGTTAACCTCACAATTACCCTTGGGTTTAATATGGAGCCCATCAAATGTTTTCACACAATATTCTGAAGAATATTTATGTACCAAATTGCTTGTGGGTTCATAAATTTGTAGTTTGTGTGTTTGTTTTAGAGCATAGCCACGTTTTGCTATCTCTGCTATGTTCACCACAGGGAATCGAACCCCGGATACTAGTGTTGTAAGTCCGTAAACTTATTGCTGCCAAACTGGAGAACGACTTTGTATATTTACAGGATCCTAATTAATGTATGAGTCACACAAAAAAATGTAAACAAAAATACTGCCAATAATGTTGGAGTTTTCTGTATATTTTATAACAGATTTCACCAGATGTTTTGACCAGTTCTTTAAAGTGAATGCTGTGACGGGCAAAATCAAAAAATTACTCATTATTATGCAATATGTGGACCCCCAATGGTTCTGAAAACTATGTGAACAATTTGTTATTTTGAGGGTTAATATCATTTATATAAATGAAGTTTATTTGACTTTCCAATGAGTTGTTCAATTTTAACGTACTTACACAATTGTATATTCTGTATATATATATATATAAATTTTTCTTTGTACTTTTAGGATATAAATCTTAAAATTAAGTGGCCCAATGATATCTACTATGGTAGCAATATCAAAGTAGGTGGAGTTCTTGTTAACTCTTCTTTGAGTGAAGGAATAGTCAGCTGTTTTATTGGTAAGTAAATCCAGTGTAACTATACAAGAGGCATTGTATACACCAAATAAGATTTTGTTTTAGTTAAAATATATTTGTTTTATATAATAAGTTGGCTCTAAAAAAACTATCAACTAGAAGTGATTTGCAGATTAATGATCACCATGAAAGATAGGGGAGGAAATTGTTATCAATTTTTTGTGTCTCCTGATACCAAAAAACGATGAGGCCTAAATGTACCTTATTAAATTTTATCAATTGGTAATGAATTTTATTAATTTTGTTTTTGTCTTCTGTAAACTAGGTGAAATATATCATGAAAGTAAGCACACTATATTATTTAAGGTTTAAAAACCTCACATTTGTTTGTGAAAACTTGTGGTAAATAATTTTTAAAAGTTGCTGGAACATTTCAAATGTCATCTTGGGTTTGTTCTACGAGGGTTGACAGAGCATAGCTCTTCCAATGAGCAGTTAACTGTTTTGGTGTCATCTTGTGATGGAAATTAGTTAATTTTGGATAATCATTCTGCTATTAATTGAAAAACAGGTAATGTGAAATAGTGCTTTACTGTCTTGAAAGTTTTACAAAGGTCCTTGTGTCATCAAATTTTCCAAACTTTATTGAAGGTTTTGGATTTTATAGCTAAAATTGTACAGCAAATATTTTTTGTGTGAAGTAAAAATAAAAAAATTTGGTTTGGCTAATTTAGATATTCAAAAGTATACATATTGAATACAATAATTAAAGTTTTTCCTATTGTGTACTATAAAACAATTTGTTTCTGAAACTTTCCATTTTTTAACTGTTATCTTATCCCTGTTTTTCTTCCTCTTGGTTGTTTATTCTCACTTCAATTAATTTTTTCTTCAATGCTTTGCTTCAAAAGTGACTTTTTAGTTTATGAAAAATTAATGAATTTATAAAGTCACTTAAATAAATTGTGACTAAAATTTCCACTTTTTTTTGCATCCAAATTACTTTTAGCACTAGTATTGCACCTGTTGATGTGTATGTTAAAAACAGGTAAATTTTTTCCTTAAATGTCAGTTAATGTTCCAGTGATATTTAAGTTTAATATTTTTGACATGTGTAGGTTGTGGAGTCAATATTAAAAACAGCAATCCAACAACATGTATCAATGATATAATTCAGTTTCACAGTCAAGCCAATGATTCACAATTAGAACAACTGACAGTTGAAAAGTTTATAGCCCAGACTCTGACACGGCTTGAAGATCTTATCTCTTGTTTTCAAATCTATGGCTCATCTAGGATCCTGCCTCTTTATTACTCATACTGGCTACATAGGTATTTTAGATTTATAATTTAAAACAGTATTTAGTACCAAAAACTGTAATTCATTAAAACAGTTTTGTAATGACAGTGTAAAATGAAAGTTTTTAAAACAGTAATTTTAAGACGTAATGCTAGTTAGTTAAAAATGTTCTGCAATTTCCTTCTCAGTAGACAAATTGAAGTCTATATCTGATTAAGGATTATTTTAGATGTTTAATAGCAATTTTTCTTAGGTGCTTAATGTGTATTATTCATCTGTTGTTCCATATATTTTTAACTGGTAGTTTATTTGTTTTAAAGCAAAGCCATATTGGGCTGTTTGCTGTATTCACTACGAAGAATTGAACCCCAGAATTTAGAGTTGTAATTCCATAGACTTGAATTAAACTGACAGATATGTACTGTAATACCACAATTCAGCACCTGATGAGGGACATAGGATTTTACCTTTACTATGATTGTGCTATGTGCCTTGATACATTTCACCTGTTTGCAAAGAGAACTCTTTTAATTATTGTACTGGTAAAAATACAGGAATGTTTAAACAAAGGAATGTTATTATTCACCACAGAGAGATGATTCAGTTTTAAGTATGATAAAAGATACATTTTACCCAAACTATTATAATTCTTAGTTGATTTCTCACTTAAACTGTTGTCTTTAAAAATCTAAGTATGAAAGTTAAAAAAGAATGAAATGTGATACACCAACGTGGATTACTGGTTATCCTGTAGATGCTACTGATGAACTTTATTAGCCTTATGTTTTTGCATTTTCCAAGGTTAGTTTTTAATGCATTTTATTCATATATTAATATTTTTATACACATATGTGCATATTTCATTGAAATGAGTGCAGAAGATGGGAATACAAGTTAGCACTTGTGTTGCAGCTTGGAAAATACAGGATCAAAAATCTTATCATGAGGTCTGTTGTTTAATTTCATCAAAAGATGCCCAGCTAATAGATGAAACATTGTGAACTTAATTTATCATTAAAAATACTTTTACTAAAGTTTTCACATTAGAAGCAGTTATTGTGTTTATGTTGCATTAAACAAGTGTTTCTTGTCACTGTTTTGTATTTGAATAGGATTAAAATGTGGTACCACTCAAGAGCCTAGAGTTGATTGATGTAAAAGATATGGAGGAAGTGTTCTGCTAAAAAATATGTTTTTGTGCTTTTTTTATAAGTTAGAATTTATTTTAAATGACGTTTCATTATTCAAGAAAATTTCTTCATTCCTCCCTGTTTCAAAGTTTTTTTTTGCATTCAAGCTCAAGCCAAGTCTGCATTAAGACTCGGGCTAAGCATAAAATTATGAAAACTTGTACAGTCCTAATAATATATGTGTATTTATATTTTTCTAAGAAATACTGCTTTTGTCACAAACATTCATTAATAAAATTGTCAAACTTAGGCATTTGTATGGTTAAGGAAGTAAAAATAATCTTGAATAAAAATGAAACATAGCAATATAAGTTATAAATCTGTATGTTTTCTTGTCAAAAGCAATGTATTTATGAGTAAATGCCTTTTTGTGGGTTAGTCATTTATCACATGTTAAATATGACTGTTTTTGTTTTACTTTTTGTATTTGTGTTAGTTGAAATCATCCTGTCTTTGTAATTTTGCTGCAAAAGTGAGAAATTATTAGTAAATGCTATGTGACTTGTAAAATGTGGGTCATCTTAACTATTTGGAAGTTTTTCCTATCATAGTTGGTTTTGTAAGTTTGGTTATTGTTTGTTTTTTGTAATTTTTAACCTTGAATGGGGACATTTAACACATGACGTCAACATATTTCACTCAAAATATTCATCTTTTGGTGAAACAACAGGTTCTCTCTTTCTCTTTCAGTGGTCAGGAAGTTTGGTTGGAAGAGTCACAAGAGAAAGCAACTATCCAAGGATTGGATGAACATGGATTTCTCAGAGTTAAAACTTCATTGGGAAATGTTTCTTTTCAGCCAGATGGAAACAGTTTTGACATGATGCAAAACTTGATCAGACATAAGAAGTTACCTTAAGACAAACTTCATAAGGTATGAACACAGTTGAAACCTAGAGTGAATAATGAGAAAAATGTAGAAAAAATTTTTTATTCCTTTTTCCATACCTATTAGGTTTAAGAGGTCAGGTAGCAACATTGATACCTGTTATACACTCCTTACATGAAGATTATATATCATTTGTTTTGTGAGAAATGAAGTTGAGTGTAAGTTTTTGAAGGAAACAGTCTACAAAATATTTAACCCATTGTACATAGGTGGGAGTCAAGGTGTGCGTGCCACAACATAGTGTGATTCAACATGGTCTTATGCATTTGATGTCAGAGTTATAACCATTTACTGTTATTTGACATCTCTAATTTCACAACAGTTAGTTTTAAAGTTTAAAAAATACCAGATAAAGTATACAAGCCAGTGTAAAAAATTTAGATACGTATTTAGGAGGTTGTGGAAGTTATGCAAATGCAACTCCCAAACCTTATGATTGACAAAAGTATTGTTTATTCTTCACATGAGCATCACTTTGCACTCCAACTTAAAAAAGTCGGAGTCAGACTGACTTCTGAACTTCACAGATATATCTTCAGTACAAAATACCTTAGTAATATGTCTTATTTTTTTTATATACAACAAACCTGTATTGTTGACTAAATGCTTTCCACATTTCATGAAGATGCATTTCATAAATTCGAAATTATATTCAACATTGTTTCTCCAATATGAGTCGGTCCAATGGACAATCCCATGCACTATTAAGAACAGAAATGTTTCTGTTGATTCGTATGTATAGCTGACTGTAATGTATTTAATACAACTTAGACATTTTGTTTACATGCCTAGTATTTTATTGTTGGGCCTTTTCATGATCATAGGCAGGTCAGCATTTTTGCCACACATCTCTATGCTCTTGAATGCAACAGCCAGTATATTTCATTAGTCACATATGTCTGGAATATAAACTTTGTTAATGTTTTTTATTATTTTTAAGGTTTTTACCCCTTTATAGTATCAGTTTATATTATAAAGTCCTTTAAATTTACTAAAAGCATAAGTTCTGAAGTGAAAAGAGGAGATTTGTAGAATATGAGGACATAGCTTTGTATTGTTGCGACAGCGAGGTCACGTGACTAGTATCACGCCACTCCTTCTCTCGAACCTTCGGGAATTGTAGGGAGATTACTAGATATAGGGTAGTCTGGTATATATAAGATGGTCACGGTGTGATGTGACAAAATGTGTGTAGGTAGTGAGTAATTGAACTGCAGTCAGAAAGTATTGTTGAAGTTAACGTTCGTTATAGCGTTTGTTATAGAGCGACTGTTGAAAAT